TATAAGTAGCAACGATACACTGTAGTCAGAGTTGTTTACTTTCAATAATCGTACATGTCTCATTATAATTATTGACTTAGTTTTCATTATTTCAGTGTCTCAACACTTCGACGAACCGGTAAACGAAAACACGACGGAATGTTTCCACATCTTACATCTAACCAACTGTTTTGTTTTGCGAAGTGCTGGAGAACTCGTATAAGTTTGCTAAAGGCTTCAATTTTAACAGCAAGCTGAGGACGGCGCTTTGGAAAGCTGGTAAACGCTTCATTAATATATTGTACCATTTGACACGAGCGACACATTTTGTACAATTTCTATTCGAATTGGAAATTAATACACGAGTAAAAACATCACATTCAAAACGTCTCGCAAAAGGCAAATTTGTGGCTGTCCTTCCTATTAGGCACTCACTCCAAAGCTGTACATGTCCGCATACCTAGACACCCACATGCAGCGTGACCAAGTTTGTTTACTCAGATTTGTCGTATAAGCTTAAATTGTCCTCCCCTTTCTGAATGTTATCTACATAAAACAGGAGGAAAATTCTAAGGTCATTAGACTAAGTCTTGTGAAAGTAAGAAACATTTGCTTTTATGGTTTTTTTTTCTAATAAATAAAGATAAAAAAAGAGCAAATTCAAAAGAGGAGAATGAAAAACTTGATCCAGGTTTTATAGGACAGGAGTAAAGATGCCTCAGATTTTGCTGGACTTCCATCAAAACTTGAATCAGAATCCTCGGTGTCATAGGGTTTGATGAGACACTTTGATGTTGTCCATGTTTCTTCTCCTTTACGTTTAAGCGGGTCCTCGATTGCTCGTACTCTGATAGCGTAATAAAAAAGGATAATCTGCCCCTTTATTTGGGGTTCTTCTTATCAAGGCAAAATAATTTGAGCAAAATGAGTACCTTGTGCACCAGGCTTCGGGTTAAAGTCATCCGCTCTGCTGTTTGCAATTGTTTTCACCAAATTTCAGCAAGTGCTTGATCTTTGGGCCACTTATGAAAAACTAAATTTCTACATGAGACCTCTTAACTTGGTAATAGGGATAGCTTATATCATTATCGCACATCCAACTGCAACGCGCATTTTTACCATTTTGGCTATGACTGCTCACGGCTGGTTTGGCTAGTTTAGGGTTTAGTTCGTTTGACTTGGCTTATGAGATCCGCACATTTGCGAACCCAAGAACATCGCTCAAACGACGGTCAAGTTGTTCAAAAACAAATGTTCTTTAACTTTCCTTGCTTTGATTACTTACAAAAATTTGACTCACGTGCATAAAAATTGCAAATAATAGTTTGGACTATTAAAATGGATGAGTTTGAGAAATATTTTGAAAGAAATGGCCAATATATATTGTATAAGGGTAATTTTGCGTATTTATTAGTAATTTATATGGACGCCATGCGTGATCGCGCTCGGCGCAATGTTTTGCACCCCCTGCAACATGGCTGCATAACCTGGCAAGGTCTATTATGAAGGATCACGGTGGTCTATTTTACAATTTGAAGATAAACAAAAATCATGTTTCAACTAGGATTTGTGGATTAAATTTTCAATTTTGTTCTCAATGTAAGAGGCCAAGTGCTGCAAGTAAATAGTTGGCTTTCACTCGTTATTTTTTTTTTAAATGGATACTAAAATATTTCAGTTTCTAAAGAAAAATTACAACATAATAATCTATTTTAAAAAGCGTTCATTGAATTTCTAAAGAAAAATCTCGCTAAGTAATTGCATGAAGCATAAAACTTGTGCGATCAACAAAAGCAAGAGACACCAAGTAACAGGAGTCAAATTGAAAAGAAAATTTTAAACTGCGACGTTATTTCAAACTGAATCAAAGGTTTCACCAAAATCAAAGGAGACCACTCGAACAAAATCTGTATTCTCGTTCAACCATTTTAACCAAAGTTACGGACGTTTGTAGCCCATGCAACTTAATCCAACACAACGGCTGTTAACAACGCCCGCCAAATGGAATTAACCCAAAGAAGGAAGCCCAAATGGAATGGATAAACAAATGTTCCGACCCCGTTTTGTAAACACCATTTATTTGATGGAGAAACTTTTCCTTTTTGGAACAATAAATCATATTTAATCATTGCTTCTGAAGTTTTCTCTTGTGCCAAAGAAGACAAGTACCTCTCTAAAGTTTGAACGCTTCTACCAAGGTATTTATAAAACAACTAATATTTGAAATACCATCGATCATTTTTCTAAAAGCGATTGTCCCTCAAGTTTAGTCATGAAAATTTCAGAACTTTATGATCATTTATTTCTTTGGAAACCTATTGTTTTCATTGAGAGTCTTTCACTGATTATCAGAAAGTTTAATAAAATCAATTGTGTTTTTTTAATGTACACCGTGAATGTTTATCGACATCAAAACAATGTTCTAAAGCTATTCATCCGACATCACTATTTACTTAATCAAAACTTAAACATAGAAAAACAACTTAAACTGTGTTTGCATTAGCCTGTACAAACGTGCGCGTATCTGAGCTACATGAATTATATCAATCAAAGATAATTTGCAAATGAATCATGAATACATGTTAGAGAAAAATTTTAAACTTTCTTGAAGTTGTCTGTTTCTGCATTACTATTATTTACAAAAGAACTAAAAGATGTTTTTGTGTTTGTAACTCGCTTATGTAAACCTTGAGACGTAAGTGAGAACTCTCTAGCTGGTGCAAACTGTCAACTTCGGTGTAAAGCTTGCACTAACATTGTCTCCAGTTCTACCAAATATCACTCGCTCTTGCTTAACCCTGTACAACAATTAAGCATCTTTTATTTCCAAATCCCATCCTATATTCAGTCTTTACAACTCTTGTTTAAATTTTCGCGGGTGTGCAAGAGGTGAGGTGTGACCTTTCTTTACTAATTATCAATATACCAACAATTAAATTTTTATTTTATCTTCCTGTCATCCATTAATATCCATTCATATTATCCATTAATGTCCATTCGTGGTCCTTTATTGCAGAAGCACAGACTGTCGTTGATATATATTTAAATTATTTACTGTGAATTCGCTTTTGTCAATATCTTTCAAAGATTGATCAATGATTGGTCTAAAGTTGCCCAGGATGATGCTCTATTGAATTAGGTTACACCAGTGTTGATGAATATGTTTCAAACTGTTTAGTTCTCTACATTTTCTTGTTCATATCTATGCCAATTTAAAAGGACTGAACGTAATTATTATGAAAAAACTGGGACATAGTCTATCAACATGAAAAGGAGTAGAACATGTCTCAATTTTGTGCTGACAATGTTGATTATAATACATCTTTTATCACGCTTTTTATATGAATAGTATCAATGTCATCTTGTTTTTATATGATTTTCCAGGTTCAAGAGAACGCAGTATTTGTATCAAAGGTCTGGAATGTCTCGCTTCTATTCTTAAATGTATGGTAGAATGGAGCAGGGATCTTTACTTTAAACCTGGTTCTCAGGAGGCCGATAATTTTGTGAGTTTAACATCTTTATGAAACTGAAGAAACTCGCATGTAGCTAATATAAACTTAATATTGTTATACATTTCGATAACTTATCCTTTATGATCCATTGTACTTCTTTGATATCGGCTACACTGAAGAATTTTGTCTCCATCAAGATTCCATCTTTCTATACTCTGTATCCCCTATTTATCAAGGTACTCCATTATTTTCTTATACACACGCTAATGTTCTTAATCATAACTAGTTGTTCGACAATTGTAGTTAACCTCTCAGGATCTAAGTTATCCCTTGGTTATCTTTTTTCCCTTGCTGGTGTCGCTGTGGATCAAGGCTAAATCTTAATGTTTATAGTTACTGATTATTGACTCATGCTACCCTCAATGTTCTAGTCTATCTCTCAATAATCTATACTATCTTTCCGATAATCCAGCTATCTGTTAATGATCTATGCTAACCTCTTAATGATCCATGCAATCCTTATTGATCTTCAAATCATCATAGTTATTCCTCAATACTTCTGTTTAATCTCTTCCATATAAATTTCCTGACAGATCTGGTTGATCGTGCACGCAACAATTTCTAAAAGGAAGCACCAAGGAGAAGAAAACAGGGGAGCACGGTGATTTATAATCTCAAAATGGGGGTAGTCACTTGTCTCTCAGAAGTACAAAGCCATCGATAATGCTGAAGAATTTGAGACTCTTAAACAGAAGAGGAGACGAGAAAAGGGAATTTAATTGTAAGTTTGGTCAACAATTTGCTTATCTTTTGTACTTTTTATTCAATTTTACTATTTACTTTAAGATTTAACAAGAATCCATCAAAGGTATGGAATTGCTTCAATCTAGGTCTCTTCGTGAGACAGCAAACAAAGTCGCTCAATTCTTACATGCAGATGATACACTAGACAAGGTGATGATCATTTAAGTGTTAATCTATGAACCATGTGTTAATTTTTTCATTTAACATCAACAATAATTTAGGACAGGTTTTGACGATTTTCGGTTGACAATGTTGATTATAATACATCTTTTACAGATTTGCTGAGAAACATCGTCGTATGTTGTATTCTATGGAAATGGAGCAGATGGCGGAAAACGCCAAAACAAATGGAAGACGTGAGTCATATTCAGACGGATTTCGTCACTGCGACACAGATTGGTCACGTGAAGACAATGTTCAGGTACGGGGGTGGAGTCTGGAGGATAATCTATGGTGTATGTAAGGATTGATTAACGAAGCGTGAATTGTGATGTCAACTTATATGGACAGTGCGCAATACGGGGGCGTAGATTTCAAAACATGATGACATTCATCTTAATCTTGTTAAAGAAAAGACTTAGATTTTATGTAATGAATGTTTGCGATGACGAAGAGTAAATCTGTTTGATAATCTAATATATTAACTGAGCAGTGAATGATTTGACTGAATTTTCTTTTGAGATAATCCACTACTTAAGCTAAATCTGCTTCTTACAACCTGCCCAGTCCCCATTGTTAACCATTTTGTTTTGTGTGTTTAAGGTTGCATGGAGTCCGTTTCTTGCCGCGTTCAGCTTCAATCTACAAGACAACGACGATTCTTCTGTTGCTTTATTTTGTCTTGATGGAATCCGCTGTGCAATAAGAATATCTTGCATATTCAGCATGCCTGTAAGTTGATAAACATACAAAAATGTGTTCTTTTTATATATTTGGTATGAAATAACGACATTAATGTCTCTGCATACCTTTTCATCACCTGGTGACTTTCTCTCGACATAAATATGTATTCAAAAATATGTTGAATGTTGAATTGTTGAAATTTATGAATATATTTACGTAGTTACATACACGTCATGTTTTTGCGTTATATGTTCAAGGTTTAGATTATACTCATATGTATACAATAAAACAGATGTTTGTTTACCTTTGAATTAATTGTCTGTTTGTGTACATATATGGATATATCAGAATGCATGTGAATGTGAAATAATCTTTTCTTAAAAGTTTTTCAATGATTACAGCTAGTTATAATGATGTTAGGAATGAATGGAGATTCTTTACCATTAAGTTCATTTTTTCGATACTCCTAATAACTCTTTTCACATTGTAGTTGGAAAGAAATGCTTTCGTACAAGCTCTATCCAGGTTCACTTTAATTACTGCGACCAGTGGCACGCATATTCATGAAATGAAAACGAAGAACATGGAGACGATCAAGACACTTCTTACCATCGCTCAAACGGATGGTAATTACATCGGGAAGTCTTGGCTCGAGGTAGAGAGAATCATCTTGCTATATATTATGGTTGGTGTCTACGACTGAAAATATGATCGATTGTTTTTTCATCAAAGGAAAAAGTCTAGGTCTTGTCTGTAGTCTTATCTTCACGATATTGCTACAGTCTTTACCTTTCATTTTTCCAAGTGCTTTGTTGACCGTATTTCATACCCTTCATCAGAGAATCGTATCACAAATGTACTTCTGTAATAAATATACATAAGAAAATGAAGTTTTTTCTCAAGATATTTTTTATTTGAAGATATTTTCTACGTATGTATTTAATTGTTTATGTTGTCTTGAACACCTCGTTTTCGTTGCTCAAATGCTCGTTCCGCTCGGCGCATATTTTTACTTTTCCCTAAAGTCATTGTTTTCATTCTAGATAAAATGCATTTCCAACTTGAATTGGCTCAACTTATCGGTACTGGTGTGAAAACGCGATACCTTCACACGGCGTCCAGCGGTGTTAATTCACCCACAGCATTCATCGCAAACAACAAGACACCTTATGATATAACCTCAGGTTGCTTATAACATTGTTGTGACGCTCGTAAATGTCAAATACTAACGTTGGGTGCTTTTCTTTGTTTGTATTTCTATGAAGGTCGGATGCCTGTTGCCGCTGACTCGAAAAGCGGCTGGCTCACAGGAAGCCATTTGGGAGACTGCTGCACAAAGTGTTGTCGTTGCAGTTGACTGGTAACGTTTACTTTAATGATAGCTATGGGGATTGTCTTTTGTGACCTATCTCCCACCCCAGGGCGAAGCTAGAACTTTAATGCAGGGGAGAGGTGAATATTCATATATATGGTCATTCTGTGACCAACTAATTTCTTTTCAAATTAAAATAGCTTTTAAACCAAATCAGTCAAGCAAAACTAAATATTCACCCTCCCATCCAGCGTTCTTGCTTCTTCCCTTCCCCCGCCAGAAATCTTGTCTTCAAGGTAGAGTTGGGCTTGTAACAGCAAGAAATGTTGATGGATGATTCTCTATGTAGACATGTTCATTATCCGTGTTAGCAGAGTCCTGAGAAGGACTGTTATTGTTATTGTTGACTGACGTTTTGACATCCTTAGCGGTAGTCATCTTCAGGCTTAATGAACCAGAGAACCTTGAATATAAACATGAAAATAAAATTTAAAGAACTCCTGCACTGTCTTTGCGTTATGTTCTCTCAGCAGAATATCTTCATCTCAACTTCTTCATTGTGTTTTATTACGTTTAGAGTTTTCACGGGATCAGTGAAACTGGATGGTGATGCTATCGGTAGGTTTGCATGTATACATTAAAATGCATCTTACATAAGATTTTTATACATCTAACTTGACCATAATTCACTGACCATTGTTTATCCCAAGTACCCAAATTTCTAGTATCCAAATTCCTGTTCCAAATACCAAAACCCAAGTATCCAAATCCCAAGTATCCCAAATCCCCAGTGTCCCAAATCCCCAGTATGCAAATCCCCAGTTCTCAAATCCCAAGTATCGTTATCTCCTGTATCCAAATCTCAAAATGTTTTCGTTTTTCTCCTAAGTCGATTTCGTGGAAGGTTTACGTCAAGTCTCGGAAGTTCAGCTTTCCAATCCTACAATGATACGTATGTTTAGTCTGCAGAAGATCGTAGAGATTGCTTATTACAATATTGTTCGTATTCGTGCAATGGTCACGAATATGGCTGTGTTGGGAGATCATTATAACAAGGTTAGCAATTATTAACGACTAAGACTGTATCTTGATATTATGGTTAATAACATCACGTTGTTATGATGTACTCAGGTATAGTAACAAGATAATCATTGTCTTCAATGTTCTATGAACTACACTATCAGATCAATTGTGAACTATGATGATATTTTAAAACACAGTTCTAGTTTTTCATATCTCAAGTATAAAACAATATAATCAATGCCTTCATCTCCAATGTTCTACCAACTATAGTATTTCTCCATCTTAGATAATTCATGTGTCATTTTAATGGTTGTAACTCTAATAAAGAAGGCGTTCTTCTTTGCGACAATTATCCATGAAGTTCTTGGAAAGGGGAATTGCCAAATTTCCGATTTCAAAAGGATTTTCTCCGACCCTTCGAACACATAATGAAGAAAACAGGTAAGTTTATGCAGGAGTCAATTCTGTCAGAAAATGTAAATTTTCTTGCAGCTTGAAAATCTCTCAAATAAACAAAATTTGTGGCAGACTTTGTAGATTCTTTTCCAAGTTATAATTTTACGACGAATTTTACAAAGGACGTCTTTCGATCAATCGCTCTGTCTTGTCTCTTATAATTGGAAGGATTTGATTAAAATTCTTTCTTCAATATCTTTATGAACTTGGCAACAAGGACTGCAATTTCAGTCTACGATTTGCTTGAATCAACAACTGGATTTTTCACATTTTAGTTCTTCCACAATTCGAGATATGGTCGTACGATGTGTCACACAAATGGTTCATTCGCAAGCCGCAAACATCAAATCTGGTTGGAAAAATTTCTCCGTTTTTCATTTGGCTGCGTCCGATCATGATGAAGGAATCGTGGAACTCGCTTTTCAAACAACAGGTTTGTAGTTTAAGGAAGGAGATTTTTCTTCTAATCTTACCGCCGACCTGTCTGTTGTTCTCTTGGGTGAGGTTCTTGTATCGGTGCAAATTTTAAAATTTTAAAATAAAAATGATTGCATATGTTTGAAGAAATGATGGTGAATCCGTTTCCAAGCATGAACGACTTAGACATCTGTAAAATATTGAATTAAATTCAAATTGAATTTGAATATCGCTTAAGTAAATGTGTTTCTCGGATGTGACGGAGAACTTCGTTTATTTTGCAACAAGAATTTTATGTGTTCGTTCTTTTCCATGGTAATTCAGCCATATTCGTATAAGTTTTCAAGGTAAACTTTTATTTACCATAAAGTCGATGGATTATCTTCTCATGATTCATGAATGATAATTAAACGAGAGTTAATGGAGAAATGAAATAAATGTATGAAACAGTTTTAGTTGATGCAAATTACGTGTCAAAAGGCAAAGTTTTTAAACTTTTCTAGCCCTGTTTCTCTACTGTTTCAACGTCACTTGTAAATCAAAGCTTTGACAGATTCATTTATCCCACAAGATTATCAGTGTATAAATTTCACATCCCCATTCTCTTTCAGCCACGATTTTGAGAAATATTTCTCCGCGACCATCGACTCTTTCCAAGATGCCGTCAAGTGTCTCGAATTCGCATGCAACGCAAGTTTCCCGGACACGAGTATGGAAGCAATAAGACTGATACGAAATTGCGCCAAATTTCTTTCCGAAAATCCTGTAGTACGACAATTGCAAATCTACTTTCTTTTCACCTTTGAAATTTATTTGAAATTTTGCATCACATCAAAGCTAACCACTTTGGATCAAATCAAATCCTAATTATCTATTTCAATCGCTTTTTCGTGTAGCATTTTTCAATGGCGTCTGTTTTCTTTTCTTATATAAACAGATATTTAAAGACTACGGAGTAGAGAATGCTGGGATATCAGAGCAGGACAGAATCTGTGTGAAAGGCTGGTTTCCAGTCCTTTGAACTTTCGTGTATCATCAACCGATGTAAACTAGATGTCAGAACAAGGTATGGTGGAAATATTGAGTTGTTTGTACTGTATAGATTAGTATGCATTGTATAATTTGAATGTGAGCTATTTTCCATCCATCAACTAGAGGCCTAACCGTGATGTTTGAAATCATGAAAACATACGGGAACACGTTTCTCCAACATTGGTGGCGTGATGTGTTTAAAGTCTTGTTTCGAATTTTCGACAACATGAAACTACCAGACAGACAGATAGATTGGCAGGAGGTTAGAAAACTGTCATTATTTTGCTCTTATTATATGGCAAGCGTCACTTCCGGCTAAATGGCGCGCTTTGATTCGCTGAGAAACATTTTTCCGGTCCATTATTCTCCTGAAATGACCACGTTTCAAAACGCGTAATTTATAATATGTCGTTATTTTGGTCTTATTGTCTATGATTGCCATAAACACACATTATATCGCAAAAAGTCAACTTACATACACGACTATCCAGTTCCACATGGAATAATATTCATTTCATGTGTTCATGTCTATCCACCTTCATTCCTCAATCACTCATCCATTTCAATTGTGTATCCACTCCATTGAACTAAAATACATGGAACGCTACCTGTAATAGAAAACCGTAGTAATTTTTTGAAGCCAAATTTTACACCCAGACACGCGGGTGTAGTTCAATCAATTTTCACTGCGCGAGAGAACTCAAAACACTAAACACGTGTGTCTGGATGTAAGATTTGGCTTCAATTATTTGCTTCATGTAGCGTTCCATGTATTTTAGTTCAATGATCCCCTCATATCTTCCTCTATTTCTTATTCACCTTTATCCACTTTCATTCTAGAGTCTCTACTTCATTCTCTATCCATTCTTATCCTCTTGCATTCCCTATTCACACACCGATTTCATTTTGTGTAAACGATTTGTACCAGTATGGAAGTTTTGAAACACTCGTTTGTGAAAGTTACCCACCTGTAAAGAATGCTTTTGCCTTTAAAACCGGAGGGAGTAGTTTTAAACTACGGAAGGTCGTTTCCTTTACATAGAATAAAGTCCGTGTATAAGGTGTTGTATTTCCTCGTTATAAAATGAGACATCAGCTGAGGTTGTTTTGAAATTTGTGATGTTTCTTTATAGAAATCAGAATGGATGACAACAACTTGTAACGCTCAATCTGCTATCATCGATGTTTTTACTCAGTATTTTGATATTCTTGCTGAAATTTTTCTTGATGATATGTATGGCCATCTAGAGTGGTGTGTCAAACAAGGTAAGCTTGAAATTACGCAACGTGTTTGTGCTTGGCATATGCCTTGGTGATTGGTTCGTTGTGTCAGAACCAATCACCGTGATGTCCTGTTTGTTCGTTCATTCAATACATGTCCTGCCTTTCTCGTTCATTCAATATGTCCTGCTTTGCTCGTTAATTGGTGATGTCCTGCTTTGCTCGTTCATTCAATACATGTCTTTAGATAACGAGCAGTTAGCGAGGTCTGGTACCAATTGTTTGGAAAATCTCGTCATATCCATTGGCAACACGTTCTCCGAAGATCTGGGAAAAGACATATCAATGTGTAAAACGATATTTGAATCAACCGTACCTCACGAACTATTGAAATGGTGGAGTCCACCCACACCTGATGTCACTCCTCCGTCATCACCACTCAAGATAAGTTACACTTAGGGCCTGATTATACGGAGGCGAGCTGGCCCGGATAGCGAGCTAGCCCTGATGATTTCAAGGGATTGAAAAGAGCCAAAACTTCAAGGTTAAAATTACAAATGTTTGCGAAGCTCACACACGTCATTCTGGTTGTAATTCTCAAATTATGGCAAGTTGGTTGTTTTAATTTTAAATGTTTTGCGTAGTTATTAAATCAGAATTTTGTGAAATTGTTTAGAAAATTTATCTGATAATAAGTATTGAATCGTTTCTTTAAAATTTCACTGTAAAATTTCAGACAAATTTTCATAACTATTCTGTTTGTTTTATGTATTTATTACCTTTAAAATTGACGTATATTGTAGATAATGTTACCTGTTGACCTGGAGGATGATATCGTGCCCAAATATCTGGAAGGTAAATAAAAAGTTTTTGAATTCTTTTAAAGGAAAATGTTGCTTCAATTGTCTCCATGATTGTAGGATTGGAAAATATTTCATGGTAAGCTAAAGCTCGCATATTAAAAAAGCTCATTTGAACCAAAAGCTCATATGAAGCAAATGTTCGCATATTACAATATAGCTCGTGTGAATCTTTAACTCGTATGGACAAACAGCTTGTATTCTTTGAGTAACAAGTGAAAATTTTCCGTATTATTTTTAGACGAGGACGAACAAGATGGTCAGCAATCGTCAAAAGGTTTGAATGAAACAGAGGAGGAAATGCCTCAAGAAACAGTTGAAGAAACAAAAGAACAAGACAGCATCAGTTTACATAGTACGCCTAGTTTACGATTTGAACCTGTCGAAGAACACGAACCAGGTAACTATGTGTTAGAAATCGAGATTAATAATTTGTTGTCACAGCCTGCTGCCATTTACGTGTTTAATTTATTTAATTTGTTTAATTTACTTTTATTTTATTTATTTATTTATTTATTTTGGTTTATTGGAAAGTAGAAAAACGTATAATTGATATATGCGTTTGAAAAACTCAATCTGAAGTAAACAGCGACGTCATGTAACATTTCCTGAAACTGCTTATGTTCTAAAAATTTACATTTTTTGCAATGTTTGAAACAATAATGTTGTTAATTGTTGCTAATAGAACTAATAATGTTACTAATTTGTAATTATTACTACTTCTCCTTTTAACACTTATTTTTCATAAAAAATGGCACTAACTTAAGGAACTCGTTTTTGCTTTATTTTTTGGCATTCGTTGCTTATTTTATTTTATTTTAGAAGACCTCTAATAAGATAAATTAGCCCTTTGTTTGACATATTCAAAGTTCGATTTTTACCGACAAATGAAAAATCGTCTGTGCGTGAATACGGAAATGTTCAACAAACACCCGAGTGTCATTTTAAATTTTTCATGTATCTACTTTAACGTCGTAAAATCATCTCATTATTTTAGTTGTGCAGACGGAGAGGATGCTGTTCAATTCATTGATCATTAAGTGTGTCGTTCAATTGGAACTTATCCAAATGATCGACAATGTCGTTCTTTCCCAAGCACCAGCAAGCGAGAAGATGAAGATACTATGGCTGAATTACAGGTCAGTTATAATTGCGGTCATTGTAGGTAATACTGAGATAAATTGTCGTAATGTTGTTATACCAGAGTTCCCCTTGGTGGCATAACAAAGTTCTTAGCTGAAGTACAGAATATGTAATATACAGAAAAGTCACTTGTGTCGGAACCATTGATGTTTTTATCCTCAAGCATATTGTGCCGCGCATATCGACTGGCATTATTCCAGAAGTTTGGTTTTTTCATTTTTCCAAACACTAAAATGAACCGACGTCATTTCTTATATTGAAATATTTTTAATTTCATTACGAAGTAATGACGTCATGTAATTGTAGTGTTTGGAAACAAATGAAACCCTAAATATATCTTGCTGGAATAATGGCGGCCATGAGGACGCAGCACACTTGAGGCCCTTCTCTATAATTATTATTCTGTGGTTGTAGGGCTGGGGTGGTCACAAAGTCATATATGCATCTCTTAATCTGTAGAGAACAATTGATTTCACTGGAAGTTAATACAAAAAACATGAGTATATGAACCTCCCTATTTATCGAGTTCACATTTGGTACCTTTTCTTTAGACACGTAAAAATTTCAATAACTATCCTCAAGAGACTTTATAGAATAAACGATTTCCTTGGGTTGAATTTTAAAGTTCGTTATGTGTTGTATGCAGGCTTGTAAGATCCTCTTTCACCTGATTGGTCAAACTGATTCTCTAAATCACCTACAATGGTGTAATAAATCATCTTTCACTTGATTGGTCAAATTGATTCTCTAAATCACCTACAATGGTGTAATAAATCATCTTTCACTTGATTGGTCAAACTGATTCTCTAAATCACCTACAATGATTTAGTAAATCCTCTTTCACCTGGTTGGTCAAACTGATTCTCTAAATCACCTACAATGGTGTAATAAATCATCTTTCACTTGATTGGTCAAACTGATTCTCTAAATCACAACGGTGTAGTAAACTTTCACCTGATTGGTCAAACTGATTCTCTAAATCACCTACAATGATTTAGTAAATCCTCTTTACCTGGTTGGTCAAACTGATTCTCTTAAATCACCTACAATGATTTAGTAAATCCTCTTTCACCTGATTGGTCAAACTGATTCTCTAAATCACCTACAATGTTGTAGTAAATCCTCTTTACCTGGTTGGTCAAACTGATTCCTCTTAAATCACTGTTGTTGGAACTGATTTTTAGTAAATCCTCTTTACCTGATTGGTCAAACTGATTCTCTAAATCACCTACAATGTTGTAGTAAACCTCCTTTACCTGGTTGGTCAAACTGATTCTCTAAATCACCTACAATGGTGTAGTAAATCCTCTTTCACCTGGTTGGTCAAACTGATTCTCTAAATCACCTACAATGATGTAGTAAATCCTCTTTCACCTGATTGGTCAAACTGATTCACAAAATCGCCGGGATTGATGTAAAATAGACAAATTGCAATTTTACGAATTTTACTTTCCTTCATGAAATACCAAAAGAAATCATAGAACTGAGCTATGTGATCACCGGAGTGCTATCGTGGTGATTACACTATTATATACACAATTGGAGTCGGACTATTTACTTAAAAATAGCCATTTAAATACCATATGTAGCTACAACCGTGTTTTTTCAGAGAGTGATTGTCAACCATGATCCAATCAAATGCGCTCTTTGAGAGTTTTGCATCTTGGTTTTGACGTTTATTTAACAAGAGCTGAACTTTCATACAATTTCATGTCTTGACATTGTTATAAGTAGCAACGATACACTGTAGTCAGAGTTGTTTACTTTCAATAATCGTACATGTCTCATTATAATTATTGACTTAGTTTTTTATTTCAGTGTCTCAACACTCCTCGACGAACCGGTAAACGAAAACACGACGGAATGTTTCCACATCTTACATCTAACCAACTGTTTTTGTTTTGCGAAGTGCTGGAGAACTCGTATAAGTTTGCTAAAGGCTTCAATTTTAACAGCAAGCTGAGGACGGCGCTTTGGAAAGCTGGTAAACGCTTCATTAATATATTGTACCATTTGACACGAGCGACACATTTTTGTACAATTTCTATTCGAATTGGAAATTAATACACGAGTAAAAACATCACATTCAAAACGTTCAAGCAAAAAGGCAAATTTGTGGCTGTCCTTCCTATTAGGGCACTCCAAAAGCTGTACATGTCCGTATACCTAGACACCCACATGCAGCGTGACCAAGTTTGTTTACCAGATTTGGTCGTATGCTTAAATTGTCCTCCCCCTTTCTGAATGTTGCATCTACATAAAACAGGAGGAAAATTCTAAGGTCATTAGACTAAGTCTTGTGAAAGTAAGAAACATTTTTTTATGGTTTTTTCTAATAAATAAAGATAAAAAGAGGCAAATTCAAAAGAGGAGAATGAAAAACTTGATCCAGGTTTTATAGGACAGGGAGTAAAGATGCCTCAGATTTTGCTGGACTTCCATCAAAACTTGAATCAGAATCCTCGTGTCATAGCTTGATGAGGACACTTTGATGTTGTCCATGTTTCTTCTCCTTTACGTTTAAGGGGTCCTCGATTGCTCGTACTCTGATAGCGTAATAAAACCAAAGGATAATCCGTTCCCTTTTATTTGGGGTTCTTCTTATCAAGGCAAAATAATTTGAGCAAATGAAAGTACCTTGTGCACCAGGCTTCGGGTTAAAGTCATCCGCTCTGCTGTTTGCATTGTTTTCACCAAATTTCAGCAAGTGCTTGATCTTTGGGCCACTTATGAAAACTAAATTTTCTACATGAGACCTCTTAACTTGGTAATAGGGATAGCTTATATCATTATCGCAATATCCAACTGCACAACGCGCATTTTACCATTTTGGCTATGACTGCTCACGGCTACTCGGCTGTAGTTTAGGGTTTAGTTCGTTTGACTTGGCTTATGAGATCCGCACATTTGCGAACCCAAGAACATCGCTCAAACGACGGTCAAGTTGTTCAAATGTTTTCTTTAACTTTCCGCTTTTTGATCACAAAATTGGACTCACGTGATAAAAATTGCAAATAATAGTTTGACTATTAAAATGGATGAGTTTGAGAAATATTTTGAAAGAAATGGCCAATATGTATATTGTATAAGGGTAATTTTGCGCATTTATTAGTAATTTATATGGACGCCATGCGTGACCGCGCTCGGCGCAATGTTTTGCACCCCTGCAACATGGCTGCGATAACCTTGAAAAGGTCTATTATGAAGGATCACGGTGGTCTATTTTACAATTTGAAGATAAATAAAAAATCATGTTTCAACTAGGATTTTGTGATTAAATCTTTCAATTTTTGTTCTCAATGTAAGAGGCCAAGTGCTGCAAGTAAATAGTTGGCTTTCACTCGTTATTTTTTAAATGGATACTAAAATATTTCAGTTTCTAAAGAAAAATTACAACATAATAATCTATTTTAAAAGCGTTCATTGAATTTCTAAAGAAAAATCTCGCTAAGTAATTGCATGAAGCATAAAACTTGTGCGATCAACAAAAAGCAAGAGACACCAAGTAACAGGAGTCAAATTGGAAAAGAAAAAATTTTAAACTGCGACGTTATTTCAAACTGAATCAAAGGTTTTACCAAAATCAAAGGAGACCACTCGAACAAAATCTGTATTCTCGTTCAACCATTTTAACCAAAGTTACCGACGTTTGTAGCCCATGCAACTTAACTAACATATATTACTGAAAGTACTTAACAAAAAAACGGAAAATGCCAAATGAGAAATTAATTTAACCTAGTGCAGAGAAGCCTAACCTCATCAAAGGAGCCTTTGTTAAAAGATATTATATCTTTCTTAAATGAAGTACGATTACTCAATGTTTCCTGTTTCTAGTTTGTTATTTGCATTTTTATTTGATGGAGAAACTTTTCCTTTTGTTTCAATGCAATAAACCATATTTAATCATTAGTACTTTGCTTGAAGTTTTCTCTTGTGCCAAAGAAGACAAGTACCTCTAAAGTTTGAACGCTTCTACCAAGGTATTTATAAAACAACTAATATTTGAAATACCATCGATCAATTTTCTAAAAGCGATTGTCCCTCAAGTTTAGTCACGCTATGAAAATTTCAGAACTTTATGATCATTTATTTCTTTGGAAACCTATTGTTTTCATTGAGAGTCTTTCACTGATTATCAGAAAGTTTAATAAAATCAATTGTGTTTTTAATGTACACCGTGAATGTTTATCGACATCAAAACAATGTTCTAAAGCTATTCATCCGACATCACTATTTACTTAATAAAACTTAAAACAGAGAAAAACAACTTAAACTGTGTTTGCATTAGCCTGTACAAACGTGCGTATCTGAGCTACATGAATTATATCAATCAAAGATAATTTGCAAATGAATCATGAATACATGTTAGAGAAAAATTTTAAACTTTCTTGAAGTTGTCTGTTTCGCATTACTATTATTTAAAAAGAACTAAAAGATGTTTTTGTGTTTGTACTCGCTTATGTAAACCTTGAGACGTAAGTGAGAACTCTCTAGCTGGTGCAAACTGTCAACTTCGTGTAAAGCTTGCACTAACATTGTCTCCAGTTCTACCAATATCACTTCCGTTTGCTTAACCCTGTACAACAATTAAGCATCTTTTATTTCCAAATCCCATCCTATATTCAGTCTTTACAATCCTCTTGTTTAAATTTTTCGTGGGTGTAAGAGGTGAGGTGTGACCTTTCCTTACTAATTATCAATATACCAACAATTAAATTTTTATTTTATCTTCCTGTCATCCATTAATATCCATTCATATTATCCATTAATGTCCATTCGTCCTTTATTGCAGAAGCACAGACTGTCGTTGATATATATTTAAATTACGACTGTGAATTCGCTTTGTCGAATATCTTTCAAAGATTGATCAATGATTGGTCTAAAGTTGCCCAAGGATGTCAAGCTCTATTGAATTAGGAGCTACACCAGTAAGTTGATGAATATGTTTCAAACTGTTTAGTTCTCTACATTTTCTTGTTCATATCTATGCCACTCGAAAAGGACTGGAACGTAGTCTATTATGAAAAAAACTGGGACATAGTCTATCAACATGAAAAGGAGTAGAACATGTCTCTAATTTTTTGTGCTGACAATGTTGATTATAATACATCTTTTATCACGTTTTATATGAATAGTATCAATGTCATCTTGTTTTATATGATTTTCCAGGTTCAAGAACGCAGTATTTGTATCAAAGGTCTGGAATGTCTCTTCTTATTCTTAAATGTATGGTAGAATGGAGCAGGGATCTTTACTTTAAACCTGGTTCTCAGGAGGCCGATAATTTTGGTGAGTTTTAACATCTTTATGAAACTGAAGAAACTCGCATGTAGCTTAATATAAACTTAATATTGTTATACATTTCGATAACTTATCGCTTTATGATCCATTGTACTTTCTTTGATATCGCTACACTGAAGAATTTTGTCTCCATCAAGATTCCATCTTTCTATACTCTGTATCCCTATTTATCGGTACTCCATTATTTTCTTATACACACGTTAATGTTCTTAATCATAACTAGTTGTTCGACAATTGTAGTTAACCTCTCAGGATCTAAGTTATCCCTTGGTTATCTTTTTTACCCTTGCTGGTGTCGCTGTGGATCAAGGCTAAATCTTAATGTTTATAGTTACTGATTATTGACTCATGCTACCCTCAATGTTCTAGTCTATCTCAATAATCTATACTATCTTCCGATAATCTAGGCTATCTGTTAATGATCTATGCTAACCTCTTAATGATCCATGCAATCCCTTATTGATCTTCAAATCATCATAGTTATTCCTCAATACTTCTGTTTAATCTCTTCCATATAAATTTCCTGACAGATCTGGTTGATCGTAACACACAATTTCTAAAAGGAAGCACCAAGGAGAAGAAACAGGAGCACGGTGATTTATAATCTCAAAAAATGGGGGGTAGTCACTTGTCTCTCAGAAGTACAAAAGCCATCGATAATGCTGAAGAATTTGAGACTCTTAAACAGAAGAGGAGACGAGAGAAAAGGGAATTTAATTGTAAGTTTGGTCAACAATTTGCTTATCTTTTGTACTTTTATTCAATTTTACTATTTACTTTAAGATTTAACAAGAATCCATCAAAAGGTATGGAATTGCTTCAATCTGAAGGTCTCCTTCGTGAGACAGCAACCAAAGTCGCTCAATTCTTACATGCAGATGATACACTAGACAAGGTGATGATCATTTAAGTGTTAATCTATGAACCATGTGTTAATTTTTTTTTTCATTTAACATCAACAATAATTTAGGACAGGTTTTTGACGATTTTCGGTTGACAATGTTGATTATAATACATCTTTTACAGATTTGCAAAGTGAGAAACATCGTCGTATGTTGTATTCTATGGAAATGGAGCAGATGGCGGAAAACGCCAAAACAAATGGAAGACGTGAGTCATATTCAGACGGATTTCGTCACTGCGACACAGATTGGTCACGTGAAGACAATGTTCAAGGTACGGGGTGGAGTCTGGAGGATAATCTATGTGGTGTATGTAAGGATTGATTAACGAAGCGTGAATTGTGATGTCAACTTATATGGACAGTGCCAAGTACGGGGGGCGTAGATTTCAAAACATGATGACATTCATCTTAATCTTGTTAAAGAAAAGACTTAGATTTTATGTAATGAATGTTTGCGATGACGAAGAGTAAATCTGTTTGATAATCTAATATATTAACTGAGCAGTGAATGATTTGACTGGTTTGAGATAACTTTATTTTATTAACCATTTTGTTTTGTGTGTTTAAGGTTGCATGGAGTCCGTTTCTTGCCGCGTTCAGCTTCAATCTACAAGACAACGACGATTCTTCTGTTGCTTTATTTTGTCTTGATGGAATCCGCTGTGCAATAAGAATATCTTGCATATTCAGCATGCCTGTAAGTTGATAAACAAAAATGTGTTCTTTTATATATTTGGGTATGAAATAACGACATTAATGTCTCTGCATACCTTTTCATCACCTGGTGACCTTTCTCGGACATAAATATGTATTCAAAAATATGTTGAATGTTGAATTGTTGAAATTTATGAATATATTTACGTAGTTACATACACGTCATGTTCTTT